AGCCTAAGCTCTTTCAATACACAACCAAAATATACGCTTAATAGCAGGGCTCTAAAAATGCAAATCACCGATAGTTGCTGTGTCATGCAATCGAAAGTCAGTGAAAATACGAAATGTTGCATAAACACAAAAAACTCTGTGGCCAAAGAGAATCGCAAGTGCTTAATACTTCTTGTACTTCTTGTACCTTGGTGGTGAAAATTCTCAGAATAACAATCACATAATTGGCTTTCATCTGGCAACAATCAGTCATTATCTTCTTCATTCACAGGCCAGGAAACTATTTATAGAAGGGGCTTAAGTACGACGATTCATTAAAGTTTTTACACACGCCTGCTGATGCCTATCTGTCTATGTGGCTGTAGTCTCGGCGGCAATTTTCTAATGCCAGCACTCCCATTAGCAGATGGAGTATGGAGGAGCAGCACCGCCACAAAAGTCACCATCATCTTCCCGACCCGCCGCCCTCAATACCAGAGAGTGACGTGTCGGCGGATGGCGATCAGTTCTTTAGCCCCATGGGCTCCTACGCGTATGTCAGAAACTGTTTACTCAGAGGACTGGCAACAGCTTTTGGCGTTGCTTTTGTCGCCGCTTCGACAACGCCTTTTGTGATTGGAATATAAAATAAGATACGTACAGTACAAAGAGCGACAGCGAAATCTGTGGAAGACGAGGCATTGGCGATGGCAACAGGAGAGAACACACAAATCAAACGCATCTGCTGGCGGAGTCAGCACTCAGACAGCTGCTGGGAATTTGGAAAGAAGTCGCAAGTGGAGACACATGGCTCTGGCTCTGGCTCTGGCTCTGGCTCGGGCTCTATCTCTGGCTGTGGCTGTGACTGGGACCCTGTGTCTGTCAATGTATCTTGTAGTTGGCGTTGACTGCTTGGTAATTACGTGACGTTTTTTTGATAAATTGTGATTCGTGGCGTGATTTGCAGTCAGCCATTACTTAAGACTAATGTGCGGCATGCTCTCAGAATTGGAACAAACGCCAAAACGTTTTGATTTTAATGCATTTCTATTAACGGTTTCGCTACCATCGACCCAGCCAGTTCGCTTGCTGCCAATAAGACCCAAATGCCGACAACTCGCACCGCCACATGCTGACCCAGTTCGTCAATTGAATCGACAAATATGCAAGAGGGTAGCAGAGGGGAGAGTGGAGAGGGAGAGTGGAGAGTGGCCCAGCAGACCAGAGGTTATCAACCCACAAAAGTGGCGTTCAATGCATTGGCACGATTTTTGGCTTAGGGCCCTGCATAATAACCAACTGCACATTAACAGTTAACACCCGCACACATACACTCCCGCACTTACCCGAATATGCACTCTGATATGCGGTCTGCAATGGTCAGCACTGCCCATGGCCAGAACCTTTACCAATTAGGCAGTGAATTTGTTTCCACTGGGGGCCGGCAGCTCTTCCTGCCATTCTACCAGCAGTCCTATCGAATGTTGCATGGCCTGGATGGCCTGCTGGTGCCTTCCGATCATTTGTGGCTGGTGGCACTGCTGACGTTGACGCTGACGCTGCCTTTGCCTTTGTTTATTATATTGTCATTATGCTAATTTTGTTTTACAATTCGATTGATTGTGTGCCACGAAAAGAGAGTACATATGTACTGTACATATATGTATGTCTGTATTTGCTCCCCTGGTAAGTGAATGGCAGTGAGATATCGGTGGATGTTGTCGCCGTGACGTTAATGTCGATGTCATGTACTCGTACTACCCGTGTCGCATATGCGGACGTACTCCTCTCTGTTTGCTGCCTGCATTTGACATTTTGCACATTGCTTTCCTTGCGATTTTTGCTCTTGTTGCCGATGATGTTGTAGCTGTTGTTGTACGCCTGTTTACCTTTCAATAAAAATTGTTGAATAATCAACCACAGCAAAAGCGGCAGTGGCAGTAGCTGTGGCAGCACAAAACATCACAAGCAGCACAAGCAGAGCACTGAAAGGTTCATTTCATTTCATTTCGCTCCAATATGTAGAAGAAGAAAGCGTATTGCGAATTTTGTGTGTGAGATGTATGTGTGTGTTGTTTTTGTTGTTGTTGTTGTTGCCAGTGACTTGATTTGCGTGATGTGCATACGGAGGCAACGACAGGTCTATGGCTGACGAGCATTTCGGATGGCGGCGATAGCAGCTTCGATTATATAATCCCGAAAATGTTATGGTATTTTAAGCACTAAATAAATAACAGGCGTGCTTGCACTTAACCAGGCTTTGGAAATGCCTTCAAAAGTTCAGCAGAGCAGCAGTCGGCAAAATGGAAGGGCGAAAGGCTTACGAACAAAAGCCAGCCCAGGCAGAAGCGAAGGCAGAAGAGTGTATCGTGAGGGAGATGGGCAGCAGGGAGGCAAGAATATGAGATATCTGATGTTCGAAAAACTGAATAACTGGGCTGACAAACACACACAAACCGAATAGAGGGACAGCTCTACCGACTGACAGCAGTTGAGCGAATGACTTATGAATGCATGAACGAGTAACCTGATTTGGTAGAATGTTGCCGACATCTACACACACACACACACAATTGGATAGGCCTCTAACGGACTTGGGGACTGGGCTATGGGCTATGGGCTATGATTCATCCGAATTTCAGTCAATTACTTTCCGAATTTCCAAGAATATTTTCTGAAACTAAATTCGTATAGCAAACCCAATTTGATTCGAGTCCAGCCTAATTCTGGGTAAACACTTTAACACATGCATGTCACACAATCAGGGCGAAAAGAGAAAATTAGAACCCATGCAGGGGCGCATAGAACTCCACACTTAAAATCCAAATTAAAATGTTCAACTATTTTGAGGGGCCTGACCCAAAGCGGGAAAATGGGTAGAACGTGCCGGGCATAAGTGAAAATTTTTAGAAACAGCATATTAAATGTCGCCATGACCATATTGAAGAAGCCTAGCCAGCAAAAGTCAATCGAAACATTGTTGCCGCAGCCGTTGGCATTCGTTCCCTTTCCCGTTGCTAATGTTTCTGTTGCTGATGTTGCTGATGTTGTTGCTGTTGTTGCTGTTGCCAGTAGTCAATAAACTAAAACCGGTAGCATGAAATGCCGGTTGTGGTCGTCGCTTTGAGGCTGGGCATACCAACTGGCTGGATGGCGATGGTGATGGCGATGGCTATGACGACGGGGACGGCTCCGGCATTAGCCATAGCAATGTGTGGAAAAAGGTCAGCGGGCCAAAACATCGATGGCTTGGATGGCACTGGGTTTGGTTTCGGATTTGGATTGAGTTGGGATGGGATGGGATGGGATGGGCTTAGTGTGCTAGCAATTTATGTGTGTGTGTCGCTGACGTTGTTGCAATGACAGTTTTTCCCCTCAGACAAAAGTTCAATGCACCGTGGGGTGTGCAACATCATACATAAATATTCATGTATGTGTGTCTGCCTCTATGTGCTGCTGCTGGTGCTGCTGCTCCAACTGTCAATTAATGGCAAATGTCAGGGGCTGGCTTTGAAGCATTAATCATAATTAGTTATGCCACACGACAGCCAAAGCAACAGCAAGAGCAACAGCTACGGCTTCAAATTGGTTATTGATATGTAAGCTGTAAACAATTAGAGCTGATTTGAAAAAATGTTAACTGGAGTGTTGCTGGGTTCAAGTGGCAGCCAGACTGGCGGCGCTGGTTGTGTCGAAAGTTTGTACAACAATTAGCAACATTTAGGGACTGCTTTCCGGCCCTCTGCCACACTCCGGACTCCGGTGCTTGTTGTTGTTGTTGCCATGCAACAACGCAACGTAACGCAAATGAGTTAGCTGCAAAACAGCCGAAATGGAGAAATGGAAAGCAATTGTGGTGCACATAACCGGCTTGGGCCTAGGATTTGGAGCGATTCACTTCGAAAGAGGTGGAAACGGACAAAAAGGTAGGAGCAAAGGTGATGTATGCGTGGAACGCGTCAAGAGTGTGGCTCTGGCTGTAGCTGTGGATACTGTATTGTTGGCTAAGCTAAGCCCTTTTGGGCAGTTATCTAATCCAATTAGGCACTGTCGCAGCATAAACTTCCAGGCGCAGCGCATTACATAAACTACGCAGAGGGTGAGAAACACAAGAAGGGTGCATTGGGGTTTTGGGTGGTGGTTTATGGGTTGGGGAAAATATTTGGACACTCAATTTGCTGTTGCTGGCCATTGTTTTCGATTAAGTTTTGAGCAGCAACTGACAAAAATTCGTTATAAAATTGCATTGCAATGGACAGCAGTGGTAGCTGCAGCGGCAGAGGCAAGAGCAACAAAGCAAACATTTCAAACAATTATAAAACTTGTTTTACGCTTGACAAAACTACAAACAGCAGCAGCAGCAGGGGCAACAGAATGTGGCAGTGGCAGCATCAGCGCCAGCAACAGCACCAGCGAAATGCAGCCACTGTTCTGCCATCAAATGCGGCGTAGCTGTCAAGTGCATTTCGCATTGCCCCCAAAGCTCTGCGCTGCGTCCTGCGTGCTGGCCAGTTTCTGCCTGCCACTTGTTCGCAGATCTCAATTCTCTAAATTCTTTTCACTCAAACAATTATTTCGTCATCAGATTTGTTTTATTCATGCACGAGTGTGTGCCAGAATGTTTAGCATGGAAATAAAAATATTATTTAGCTGTGCAGCAATATAATAAACATGCAGCAATAGAATAAGCATAAAAAACAGTAAAAATAAGATAAATATATGTAATTAATAATTAAGAGCGAGCTGGCATCTCTCAAACTATCGAGACAGTGCGTGAGTGATAACAATAGTAAGTATCGTGCCAAGGGTATCGATAAAGAAGGAGATCGAAAGGGCTTCTGAAAAAATAAGCGAGCGGAGGAGCGTCAAATAAATAGAAAAGTATTTAAAAGCATCTGAGATTATCTGCGTGTATTTATTTTGTAAACCAATTGGATAATTGGCAATAATTAAGTCATGCTACAGTTGGAAATCTACTCAGTCGGTGATTTTTAGTTTCGAACTATGAAAACTATGTTTCACATAGGAGGCGTTGCCAAGTCCATCGTTTCTTTTATTGCAATATTTAATTTCTGTCCTGGAATTGAACCTGAAAATGTCGATAAATTCGGAATCATTTGGTAAACTCATTGGCGTTATTGGTGATGAGGTTAGCAAACAATAATTAACAATTAATACCCATATTCAAGATATATATTTATCCATCAATTTTCTCAAAGGACACCTGTGTAGGCTTTCTGCTTGGCGGCATTGGCGAAGTCAGTGAGGGCGAGGATCGTGAACGCAATTTTTTCGTTGTGGAAAAGGGTAAAGTCGACGAATTGATAGACTTTCAATCAACCCTAAGCAAATCTTCCCTAACCAGAAACTACTGCAGCAGAAATCGATGCTTGCTTCAAGAAATATTTAGAGCGCTCCGACATTGGCATCATTTTGATCAATCAGGTCTATGCGGACATGATACGCCCCACAGTCGATGCACATTTGGCGCCGTTGCCGACTGTGGTGGAGATTCCATCGAAGCAGCATCCGTACGATGCCACCAAGGACTCGGTTATGAAGCGCGCATATGTAAGTTGAGTCTTCCTGGAGCTTCGTCTCTCTCTATTTAGTGCCTTACCACACTCTAGGGTATTATAAATCCGCCCAAGAGGCGCCGCTGATGGCTCGACTTAGGCAATCAATTAGGGCTGGAGGAGAGCGTAATGAAAGATTTGCATAGTTTTCAAAAGTATCTACCAAATGCCATTGCCAAGCCCATTTCAATAGTGAAAAGTCAGCCCAAAGAGAAGTCCCGAACAAAGCACGCTCAGAAATACCAATACAAGCACACGAAGAAATAAGAAAATAAAGCTTATACATATATGTACATACATATATAGGTATGTAGGTATGTATTTATCTATGCGTACATCAGGCAACTTTTCAACTTTTGCGTTTTAAGGAAATTGCCAAAAAACTGCAGCAGCAACAATCTGAAAAGAGGAACAAAAATGCGTTGCGCTTGCAACAAAATTGAAAACAGCAACCGCAACAACAACAACAACAACAACAGCAACATCAGCACAGCAGGAGCAACAATAGAAGGAGCATCAGCAGCAGCAGCAGCAGCGCCATAACAAAAGTAACAACAAAGTGAACGAAAACGATACAAATAAGCGCCAAAAATGCCAATACATAGCAAAAATGCAAAAGAAAACCAAATAAAACACAAACCCAGCAGCGCAGCCAAAACAAACCAAACAAAAAGCGTAGCAACCGAAATAAAAGAACGCATCCAAAGAGCAAAACAAAAATAAAATATAACAAAATAAAAACTCTTAAAAAGACACTACACAATGATACAATTTACGTTGCCTGCTAGGAAGCGGGAAGTGGGAAGTGGGAAGCGGGACCGGGTCCGGGCTGGAGGGTACACGAGTACTATGTCTTCTTATGGCCTGCTTAGCGCAACAAAAGCGTGCGAAAACAATATTTGAGCCAAGTATTTTGCGCCAACTTTTCGCACCAAGAAGTTAACGCCAAGAATGCATTCAAAAAGTTCAGCTTTCAGTGACAAGTTCGTTCGCAGCGCATCGCAGCCCTGGTAGCTCCACAAAAGAGCAGCCTAAAAGCAGGCAGCATTTGTGGGGGTCACACCTCTCAAAGACCGCCCAATACTTGGCAACAAAATAACGGAAATTTACAGTTACAAGCACACACACACACACACACACAAACCATCTTTGCTGCTTAGCCAAAAATTGACAAGAGCAGCTGGTTTAAATGGTTGAAATTCCCGGTATATTTATGCCACTAGAAAGGAGATTTAAATTCTTTTTCTATATATTATAAGTAGTGTTTTTTAAATTCTTTTGATATAGTACTACAAGCAGGAGCATTAATTTTCCTACTGTTAATCCATTGATATTTAATGAGCCATGACATTTGGGAACAACCAATTGGCTGGCTGTCAAATATCTGGCACAGCCAGGGATGTAGAATGCGGCAGGCCAGGCAGGTTTTGACAACAAAATGGCGTAGAACATTTTAGGTCTAATTAGCTGCACATGCCAGTTACGGCAACACGCCCCTGTCTTGCCCTGCCCGGCAAGCGGGGGTGTGCAAGCGGCGTATGCTTAATTGCTTTACAGGATAGCTGCCAAACTCAGTTGACTGTGAAACGTTAGGTGCTGTTCGAGTGTCACCTGCCAAGAGCATTCAGCAGATGGGCTCCAAAGAGGCCAACTGCATTCACAGATATACACAGATATTGTAATGGATCGGCTCTAATTGACAACTTTTTGCTGGGGTGAAAAATGCTGGGGGAAAAATATGGGTAACAGTGTCTTTATTCCTTTCTTCTGTGAGACTGATTAAGCACTTCTTTAATTAAAATTTAATTAAAATAAGAGTTGAGATGCGTTATCTACGCTTGGAGTACGCAATGTGGCATCAATTGGCAAGGAGTAAGAAGTGAGACGAGAGACGAGAACCTTTGCAGTCCAATGCAGAACTTTTGACACACAGCCGACAACTTTTGCGCCTTTTTAGCAGTTTAGAGAGAAGAAAGAAAAACTAAATAAATAAGCGACTAACTGTGGCAGCAGGCAGGGGAGAGGGAGAGGGCGAAGTACAGACAGCATCAACTGCAGCGAAACTTTAGCGCCAAGCAATGGCGAACATAAATAAATGAAATTATTCAAAAGTAGTTTGGAATTCTCGTGACAGCGCATAAAAACAAACAGCTGAATGCAATTTGGCTCATTCTAAGCCATGCGAGAAAGAAAAGTGAAAATAAAAGCAGCAACAGAGGCATCAGACGATGACGAAGATAGACCCAGGGTCAGAGTCAGAGTCAGAGTCAGAATGAGACTGAGACTGAGACTAAGAGGCAGTGGCAAAGGCAATGGCAAAGGAAAAGGCAGAAGAAAGCCGAGAACGAGCATTTCCCTAGCCAGTGTAAATGAAATGCATAGACCCAAAAACGCATCGAGCAGCAAACAGAAAGCAACTCGAGAGAACCAGTCCAACTGACACTGGCATAATTATAATTGGAACTGGGAACAGGGAACAGGGAATGGAGAACTGAGAACTGCCAACTGAAAGCAGAGAGATAGTAGACAGAAGTCATCCGAGCTGAGTACGGATGCAACACTTTTGGCAATTCAATTTCGGAAATGAAATCGAGACACATTCACCTAGTGGCCGATGTGCAGTGCTCTCCCTTCAGTTTGCCAAATTGAGCAAAAGATTTCGAAGCCGAAATTAACAAATGGCATTGTTGCTCAGCAAATTAACAGACAACTGATGGCCCTCGGCCGTCGGCAAACCAACTAGCATAAGCTGGCAATCGTACAATTATTGCGTACGAAAACTGGTTAGTTCAATCAGTAAGTATCATAGACGCATACCAGGGCAGGAGCCACACACAGGATACATAAAACGCCCACACAGGGCGCACAGGGGGGCAGGCAGGCGGGGCAGACAGCAGGCACTTGACATCGGAAGCGGCAACTGTGGCAGCGAGGAGGACTCGACGTGCTCGAAAACAAAGTTAATTAAATGATCTGATCTCCATTATTCCCAAAGAGCTAATCTCAATAACAAAATTGAAATGAGCAGAACCCAGAGCTGGACGAGTGCTGGGACAGAGATAGATCCAGAGCCAGAATCAGCGTCGGTGTCAGCCCTTAGGGACCTCGGCCTGCTGTGCACACGAATTGATGAAACTTGACTAAAATGTAACTCGAATGTCAAAGAAAACGGGAAAAGTGAAATTGACAAACGAACGGGGAAGCTGAAAATGCAGCAGCAGCTCGGGACAGAGAATAGCTGGAGGGAATCGGTCACTATTGTTGCGGGATTAGTTGGTTAGCTCACGGAAAGGTGAGGACCGATATGCAATGCAATCGAAACGGCACAAAGCGTTTCATTAACCATTGGCAAATTGGCATCAATTCATTGAAAAGCATTCGAACCGTGTGCGAGTGTGTATCCTTAATTTGCTTGTGGCACGTAGCATATGGATAATATGTGTATGTACACATACATACATATATGTACATATGGCAGCAGTCGAACTCAATTCTCCGAATCACTGGGCTAAACAAAATCATTGAAATTGCCATTGTCTGGACATTGAGTGGATAAGCACACACACACACACACACACGGCAGTATGAGCGATGCCATTGATATATGGATATTGGTCACTTTGCTGGTCTGCTCTGCCTCCGAGGGTTTGCAGGGGGTTGGCACCCCCTACTGCCCGATCCGACTGGGAACAGAAAGAGAAACACAAACGGAGACAGCTATTCCGACTGCGACAACTGTCTGGCGTATAGATTGGATTACTTGATTTGCCAACCAAGTGTCTAATTAATTACTTTGGATTTAAATTAACTCCCATTTTCATCGGCTACAAACATCGAAGCTCCGAAGTCAATGGCAGAAGCAGAATCAAAAGCAGAATCAGAAGCAGTAGCAGTAGCAGTGAATGTGGAAATAGCTGGCACTGCTTGATTGGAGGCGTGGCAGCTGCATGTTGCGGGGTAGCCATCACTTTGCCTTATTTGTATTCAAAACACAGAAAGCAGTGTCAGTGTTTCAATTGATTGAATGAGTCTGGGGCACTGCCCCCTCATCTGGTGCACGAACTACACAGATGTCGAAAGATTAGAAGCCAGCGCAGTGCTCACCTTACTTTGACTTGGACTAATTGGAAGTGACAAATGGATGCTGCTGGCCTGTGGCTCTACCTGTTCTATATTTGCAGTGGTAAGAGTAAGCGATGACATCGCCCAGTGAGTCTGAAAAGAGGTATGCGAGGACTAATTTTAAAGCTCAAAGAATCTTTCTTTGCCATTCGCTATTAATTTGAAATTGCATTCGGAGGGTGCCCGTTCCCGTTCCCGCAACGGAAACCGCACTCAAGCGCCCCACTAATTTTCCAAGCATTCTGCTGGCTGCGCCACCAATGCCATTTCTAACTATCAAAACTATTCTTTTGTTGTCGCCAACGCCAGCGCCAGCCCACCACAACAACAGCAACAACAATAACAATAACAATAATAACAACAACAGTGGCAAGAACCACAAAAGCTGCAGCAATAAACCGCAACACATTTTTGGGGCTACTTCATATGCATAACAAATGAATGAATAACTTTCGTATTATTCGAAAGCCAGAGCTGCAATAGCAAAGCCGAAAAAAAAACGAAATGTTGAAACAGATAAACAATTGAAATGATACAAAAATAACAGCAAATGAATATTTAAATATGTGCATGTATAGAGGATAAAAGATTCGAAAGTATAGTTTATTCAAATAACAATTGCCAGATACTTTACTTATTTATCCAAAATAAAAGGCGGAAGCGAAACTTTCTGGCTTTCGGCTTTGTGTCGACTGCACGGCGCAACGGCGGCAGTGGCGGCAGTGGCGGCAGTGGCGGCAGTGGCGGCGGCGGCCACAAAATGTGTAAAAATTTGTATAAAAATGCCAGAACAAAGTGTGGCATACACCCACATGCCCCCCTTCCCACGTTAAGTGCAACAATAAAATGCCTGCAAAGCGCTGACTTGGGCCTGGGGTCTGGGGTCTGGGGTTTGCCATCATTTTGGGGTAATGCAAAATTACGTTATAACGGCATAAATTTAAATAAATGCCGGTCTCAGGATTTTTATGCATTTTTACCGCATAACAAATACTTTTGTTGCCCCATACCCACCTACATTTCTCTCTAATGTGGCTTTGCAACGCCCCTGCCACACACCCTAACACCCATCCGTACACCCATATACCCACCGTACACCCGTATACACTCCAGCAATACGTAGGCGGCTGCGGCTGTGGATGTGGATGTGGCTGCGGCTGCTGCAGTCAGCTAGTGAAATTTCCTTCCGTTTTCGCTAGGAAGCGAAATGCTTTCATTGGCATGCCAGAGACTCTGTCTGTGTGTTGGTGTTGGTGTGGGTGTGGGAGTGAATGTGAATCCCATGGCTGTTATTTGTATGCCCCTAAAATTATGCAAAGTAATCCTGTCTGCCTCTGGCGCTGCTGCTGCTGCTGCTTCTCCTACTCCGTATTCGTTGCCGAGCGCAATCCGCGCCGATATTTGCAATTGTTAACGTAATAAGCGGTTTTAAGTGCGAGCTGCACCTGTCCAGCCAGGCCCATGGGTGGCCGGCTTCTGCTCCAAGCTCCTGCTCCTGCTCCATCTCCTTTTCCTGCTTCTGC